CAAGGAAGATCCGATGCAGACGTAAAGGCAAGGATTGGCACAGCAAGCTCCATATTCCTATAACTTAAGAACATGTAGAACTTAAAACAACTGTCAACCAACACCAAATTCAGAATCTTGAATAAGAGCGTCAAGATATCTCTATTGTACCGAACTGAAACTTGGAGAGCTACTACAGTCATCATCATCATTCTATTAGAAGCGGCTTACCATTTACAGGATGGACTGAGAAAGTAAGACCATATCTGATTTTTTTGTATAAGATTCTAGGAGATGACTTTGAACTTGATACATCTTCTCTTTTTATTCCATCTAACTCAGAAAACTCTGAGAAGTAGAAGTGTTCAGAAAATGTTCACGACACACAAGTTTTCACAATGTGTCAGCAACTCTTGAAACCGACCACCAGAAGAAGCGATATCCACACTTTCAATTGATTTGTTCAGAAGAAGAACAAACTCTCACAGAAGCTCACTAGAAAATAATTAAAACGCCCTGTAGTCCCTGATTCCTTGGCAAACTCGGGTCTCCCAGCTCAGGGTCCTTGAATTCAACAGTGGTTCCCAAAAACTCTGTAGGTGATTAGACCCACGTTAAAAGTGACCAGGCGTCACTGTCTAAGCTGAACTTTCCGAGTATTGTTCCGAAATCAACTGGTGATTTCACCGCACAGTCTACCTTCAAGAATGTCCATCCGGTCATCCAAGAGCCTAGGAATCAGAAACGCGCTTTGACCTCTAAACAACAAGGTACTGAACATGAACGCACCAGAATATCTGGGAAAACAATAACGGTTTGTGATGACTCTCTCATAATCATGAACCTCAAAGACAACCCTGACTTTCCTCTCAGTTTGCCGGACAGAAATGACAGGATGCTCTGGGGAGAATTGAACAAGAAGCTCGAACTTCCTAGAATAGAGTTTCTGACGATCACACGGCCCACTCGGAGAAATAAATCTAAGCATCAAATCACCCGAGTCAACTTCGTGTAAAACTTAAGAACGCTACCGACGTCGAGGATGTCCTGTTAGCTAGTCATTTACTGAAAACCGATGGGAACGTAAGAATACTGCCCGACATACCATATTCTGAGCGCAATCTCATCCGGAACATCTTTGATGAATTTCGCAAGTTGTTCCGCGGAAGGAATATAATTGTTCAAGGTGTACTGGAAATAACGGACCCTATTCAAGCAAACTCTGACATTATGAATGGAAATTCATCAAGCATTCCTTGAGGCTCGAAAACCCGGCTTATAAGGATAACTTTCTTATGGCGGCTGCAACTCTGGAAGCATTTCGTGCCAACAGACGTCGGTTCCCAGCTGGAATCCATATGCACCCGGATAGGCCACCCGACGCCAGGATCAAGCACAAAGATAAGTCGGAGCTGACCATTCCACTTGTGGACTGTCTTGTTCATAAAAAAACCTGCAAAAGACAGGGTCTACCAACTCGGCAAACCTTATATAGGTAGGCTGCCTGTCCATTCACGTAAGACTCATACAAACAAACAGGCAGAAGCTCACGCGTTTCAAACTGGAAGCATAAACTACTTATACATGAACGCTGCGAATCTACCAAATAAAACGTATAAGCCACGTGAACTTGGCAATGCTAATAAGGCTCATCTGATAGGAATATCTGTAACTTGGATAGCTTCTCAGTTCTCGGACCAGGAGTTAGCAGCACCTGGGATGTCTTTCATTCGCAACGACAGAAAAACAGGAATTGGGGGTGGGGTAGCCGTGTACATACGATCTTGCTTGGAGGTACGCCAAGTTCATAACCTCGAGTTTAACAATCTTGAGGAATCCATATGATGCTCTGTAAGATTGTCTAGTACTTCGAGGTGTCTAGTCGGAGTCATTTACAGGGAGCCAACTGCCGACATCGAGTACGATAGCCGTATGCTGGAAGGACTATCCCGCTCTATCCGTCTCGGTTTCACACACATCCTGATTCTAGGGGACTTTAATCTCCCTAGAGTCAACTTCGCGGAACACACGTACACTGGAGGCGACAACTCAATTGAAGCTCGGTTCTTCAACCTCATCGATAACTTGGGCCTATATGAAAATGTGAGGTCGGAAACTCGTTGGATAAACAGTCAGACACCATCGCGCTTAGACTGTGTATTCACTAACGAAGAATTCCTAGTCGACAACCTCTCAATCCTGGCTCCTCTGGGAAAGAGCGATCATGCCGTCATAGCCTTCAGTTTTGTCATCAAAACTAAGCTAAGGTATCCCAACAATAATTTGCGTTGGAATTTTAAACGGCTGAATGTGCCAGCTCTACATGACTATCTACAACAGGTGGTTTGGGATGTTCACCCTCAACTCGATGTGGACGGTCATTGGGACTTCTTACTGCACACGCTCTTATGTGCTACAGACCATTCAGTCCCTTAAACGGTTCCCAAAAGCTGCAAGCCACCTATAGTAATCAAGAACCGTACCCTTCGCCTGCTAAGCCGCAAAAGGCACTGTTGGGCGGAATACAAACGAATTAATAACGATGGGGTGTATAGGCAATATAAACATATCAGGAACATATGCACGAAGGCTATAAGAGAAGACCGGCTTCAGTACTAAACAGAGCTTATGGACAAATTCGCCTCTAACCCTAGAAGCTTATTCCGTTATGCAGCCTCTCTTCGACAAGCCGAAACTGGAGATGCCCAACTGCAAGCTCCTAATGACCCGACCAATAACGCCGGCGATGCCGCTAACCTTTTGGATGAACTATACTCTTGGACATTTCAACTGACCCACATCAACTATATTGATGACAGCTTCATCTGCAATTGCACAGGACTTTCCGAAGTGAACTTGAGCGCTGACGTGGCGTTCCTGAGAAAAAACACTTCTCCTGGCCCGGATATGTTTCATTCTGCTATACTGAGGGAAGCGGCTTCAATCTTGGCAAAACCACCTGGCGTGACGTTCTCAGACTCACTAAGCCGAGGCAAACTACTGGAAAATTGGAAGCTGGCTCACATCACACCAATTTTCAAAGGTGGTCGACGCAGAGAACCTTCAAGTTACCAACCGGTGGCTCTTCTCTCCATACCTTCAAAAATCATGGAGTCCCTGATATGCGATGGTATACATGACTATTTGTTGTCTTTACATTTTCTCATCCCAACAGCATGGTTTCAGGAAGGGTTACTCTTGTAAAACCAACTTGCTGACTGCAGTGGACAGATGGACGGGCATCCTCGATTGCAAGGGTAAGGTTGATATCATTTACCTTTATTTCTCAAAAGCTTTTGATTAGGTTAACCATACATGTCTTATCAATAAGCTCAAACGATTGTGTATCAGACCACCTCTAATCGATTGGCTCACTTCATACCTGAAAAATCGACATTTTAAGTTCAGGGTTAATTTCACTTTATCGCAGGCTATGGAATGTCCTAGTGGAGTTCCCCAGGGCTAAGTACTACGACCTCTTCTCTTCTTGGTTTATATAAATGATCTTCCACGACAGGTATCGTCAAACCTATTACTTTTTGCTGATGACGTGAAACTTTGGAGAGAAATGCTCAACCAAGACGATATAATGGCACTTCAGGGGGGTCTGACCCGACTTCAAAGTCGGGCAGACGATAACGGACTTACCTTTAACACTCCAAAGTGTGAAGTAGTCCATCTGCGACATGTTGCAGACTACAGTTACGACTTAGGAAACTCCCGTCTACTATCATCCCGAGTCGAAAAAGATTTGGGAGTCCTGATACCCTACGATTTAAAGTCCTACGCTAACTGTGACAGAAATGCCTTTCGAGCAAACCCTGCACTGATAACATTGAAGCGCATTCTTGGCCAGTTTGACACAAGAACTTTCTACATAATCTTCAACACTTTTATTCGTCCCCATTTAGAGTACGGAAACGTAGTACTTCATACCTCACTCCAAAAGGATAAGGACACTCTGGAGCATATCCAACGGCGAGCCACGAAATCAGTCCGAGGACTCAAATTTATACTTTATGAAGAGCGCCTCAAATCATTTAACATTTACCCATTAGAGTATAGGCGTCTTAGAAGCGACCTTTTGATGGCTTACAGTATCCTTAGCTCTTCAGGACATCCCTTTAAACACATACTTAAGCTTAGTCCCGATACAAAACTATCTGGTAACACCCAGAAACTAGAGACACAATACAGCAGGACGGACTGTGGACACAACTATTTTTCTTTAAGAGTTGTCAAATGCTGGAATTTGCCGCCGACTGAACTAGTTCAAGCGACTTCCCAGGAGTCCTTTAAGAAGAAACTCAACCTATTATTAAGGACTAAGGATAACATCTTATTATGATTTACCAGTTTCTTTTTTTCTCTATTACCGTTAATATACCTTGGTTCCTGCCTGGAGGTTTTGGTGATCCACTGCTACTAAACACGGAAGCCCATTAAGTGAAAGCTTTTTCTATTCCGTCCACAACCATTTACTCTGTCCTATCGCAGACTAAGGGGAGATCTAATATTGATGTACAGAATACTGAGAAATGATTTCGGACCTAAATTATTCTCTCTCTTTCTTCCCACTAGATCGGGACACCTCAGAGGACATAGCAGGTGAGTAGAAAAGCCAAGAACGAACAAAATACCCGTGGCATACAGGTTTTCACACCGAGTCATCAATACTTGGAACCTGCTGCCTGAAGCAGTGGTGTCCGCACCTTCAATTGACTCTTTCAAGAGAAGACTGGACACTCACAGAAGCATACTAGAAACGGAATAACATAGGCCGTAGGCCTTCTCTCCTTACTACACAAATCTGAATCTGAAATATGAAATCAGAGATGTGATAAATCACGACCCGAAACGGCAGTATGACATTAATCCATAAAACTAAAGATCTGTTTTCAATATAACTTACAGTATAATTGATGGACATACATTTTGTGAAGTCTTAGATGATCATGGTTACAAATTGTGTTTAATCTACCCCTACAGCTGAGCACGTGGGAAATTTGTCCGCGCGAAATATGTCGAATACGCCCCAGGTAGTTTGCTGTTTACTGGATAATTCACTTTCACCTTATTCTGTAAGTTTTTAATCCGGAAAACTATGGGTATCTTATGGGACAAAATGTCATTAGGAAGATTAATGAAGTAGGTTTTGTAAGTTAAGTAAATGGTAATCGAGCTGAAGTGCGTCTAAAAAACCCACATCACTTTCTGATACTCGCACATATTATAAAAATGGATTGTTTCACCTTTAGAATCTCTTTTCGAGTACTAATTAGACAGACGCGACTCAGTGATGCGTAAATACGTTTCTGGTCAATAAATAACCCATAATTAAGCTTCAATCTCCTTGATATATATATATATATATATATATATATATATATATATATATCAAGGTGTACCAATGAACGTATTATTCTCGTTAACCGCTTGGATCCGGTATAATAACGTGGTTCTGTAGTATGACATCTCTGTGTATAATATTTTTCTTAATTCACTAGTCTCTCAGTCGTATTCATAACTTTGACACAAGGCCTCGGCTATAATCATTTTGGCCACGAGGTTAATGATAATATGAAGAGTAATTTACTATTCGAGATCCATAAATGAGCTCGTGTTTCAATAGTATCTTGTATTTTTGTTTTATGTAATTAGCATTTCATAAAACCATGAGGTGAAAAAACACCTAATAGCCTCTTTGGTCAGTAGAAGCTGTATTAGTCTTCTACTGAACAACTGGCGCAGATGACTGGAAATATGTTCGTTGTTTATTTACTTAAGCACATAAACATCAGTACAAACGGGTACCAAAGTAAATTTGTGCAGTACGAAAAAAGATCATAAAGAATTATGCGAGGGGGTATAATCAACAAATTAGTAAAGCGAACGAGAGTGATATATGGTGGAAGAAGCAGTTAAGTTCAGAAGACAACCAAAAAGAACCTCAGTTAAAGTTCTTGTCACTTATGTTAAGTAAGGAAAAGCTAATGCAGTACTGCTACTGGCTTCTATTCTGAGCTTCTATTCTCAGCCAGTAACAACGTAGAACTTCGTACGTACGTACATCAGTTCGAGTTGCCACACCACATTAGCACAGAGATGCAGTTGTCGATTCAAATCCCGTAGTGGTAGAGGTAATAAGAGTATAAGCAGTAATCGGGAAGATTAGGGTTTGGAGATGTTATTTAAAGAGTATAATCCAGTGAAATAAATTTGGAAAGAGGAAAAAAGGGACATGAAGAATTCAGAAGATTAGAATTTGGGAGAACACAGAGAGTGGATGCACCTGCGCCATTGCAAACGATTTTGAGCCATGTCATTCAGGGTCTCTAACCATCGGTTGCTATCATCTCGCGGTCCCCAACCAGGTAGTCTACACCTACCAACATGACTCAGTTCACTTGTCAGTGACTTCATGGACTTGTGCCATGTTTTGGTTTGGCCGCCCCTAGCTTTCTTCCAACCTACTCCTATACCACTGAACATAGCACGTCGAGGCAGTCGGTCGTTGGGCATACGTAACACGTGTCCCAGCCATCTCAACTGATGAAGTTTCACTACTTCATCAATTGATTTGCCATCCTTACCTAGTACCCGTTTCCTAACAACTGTGTTACTTACTCGATGGTCCCATGATATATGAGCAATGTTTCGAAGACACCTATGATCAAATACTAGTAACCTACGGATATCCTCTACTCTTACCGGCCATGTTTCACTGCCATAAAGTAGGACGGAACGAACTGCTGCGCAGTAAACACGTCCTTTGGTTGATAGACGGATATCTCGCCTACGCCATAAATGACGCAAGTTGGCAAAAGCTAGTCGAGCCTTCTGTATCCGTGCTGAGATTTCGTCACACACTAAACCACAAGGGCTGATGAGACTTCCAAGATAAGTGAAGCGGTCGACACACTCAACTACTTCACTCCCTATCACTAGTTCGGGTGTCGATGTAACCCAATCCTGAAGCAACATTTTGCATTTCGAGGGAGAGAATCGCATCCCGAACATGCTTGCATTGTTGCTTAGAGTGGTCAGAAGACTCTGCATTTTGTCAGCGTCTTCACCAAATAAAACTATGTCATCAGCATATTCTAAGTCAACAAGTGAACCTCCCGGTAGAAGTTCAACCCCTGGAAATTTAGATGAGGAGAGTGTTATCTCTAAAAGTACGTCGACAAAGTTGAACAAGAATGGGGAGAGTGGACAGCCCTGACGAACACCACTTGAGGTAATCAATTCTGATGACAGTTCGCCATAAGCTCTCACTCTACCAGTTGTGTTCGAGTAGAGAGCCTTTATAAGGTTAATGTACTTCTTTGGTACTCCTTTCAGTGACAAACACTGCCATAGAACCTCACGATCAACAGAGTCGAATGCCGCCTTAAGGTCGAGAAATACTACCATTGTGGGGCGTCTGAATGTGTGTCTGTGTTCTAGAACCTGACGTAGTGTGAATATCTGATCTATACAACCACGTCCAGGTCGAAAACCGGCCTGGTTTTCTCTAGTCTGCTCTTCACGAGCTTTGTTAGGCGTCGAAGTATTATTGAAGCTAATATTTTAGACACTATATTAGTCAAACTGATTCCTCTGTGATTGTCACAAGAGGACTTTTGTCCTTTCTTATAGACTGGCACAATCAGTGATTGAGACCAGTCAGATGGGATTACGTCCAGTTCCCAAATTCTACCTAAGACCTCAGTTAATCTCATTGCTAATACTGGACCACCATCCTTAAAAATCTCAGGAGTAAACCTGTCAGGGCCTGCTGCTCTCCCTCGTTTCAGATTTCCTATGGCTTTTTCAACTTCGTAAAGGGACGGAGGACCTACATTAACTTGCCATTCAGGTTGACTGGAGATCGTGGGAAACCGAAGTGTGGCTGAAGGCCAGTTGAACTGATCCCTAAAGTGTTCTGCCCATCGATCCAATCTCCTGGATTGAGAATGAATAATATGTCCATCTTTCTCTGAGATTGTTTCGCTAACGGTCGGGTTCCTAATTCCGGTTTCCTTAACGAGTCTGAACAATTGTCTGCTATTACCTATTGCCGCTGCCTTTTCCATCTCTCTTGCTTTCGCTACCCACCACTGTTCGCGATCATTGCGTAGACTTCTTGTCAGCTTGCGCTTAAGCTGACTCCGCTCTTCATTATGTTCAGAGCCAGGTGGAATGAGTTTCCGAGCATCTATCAGTGCGATAGATGCTGCTGAGATCCAGTGTTGCTCCCTAACCTTCTGGTTTACCTTACTAGCAGATATCACTGCTGTTTCCACAGCTTTTCGGATATCATTCCATGCTGCATCGGGGTGGGCATCACATACATGGCTGCCTAACTGTTTTCCTAGTTGTTCCTGAAATATACTCTTAGCTTGACTATCATTAAGTAGGCCCTAAGAGGTTTCCTTGCAGCGTCTTTCCTACGTCCAGTAAGACGCAAGCAAATACGCGCTCGCACTAGAGCATGATCTGAATCTAGGCATGTGCTCCAGAATGAGCGACAGTCTTCTATCGAGCCCCTCCATCGGTGGCTGATAGCGATGTGATCTATTTGGGTCCAACGTTGGGACGAATTAGGGGGTCGCCATGTTAAAAGATGTTTTTCCTTATGCTTAAAGTTAGTATTTGCAAGGAACAGGCGGTTATCTGAGCATAGCTGCAACAGACGGTCGCCATTATCTGTTCTTTGAGCCACGACACCATAAGATCCACCTAGGTGTCTTTCCCTATCGCTTAGTTTACCTACTTGAGCATTAAAGTCACCGGCCACTATTACTACATCCGAGCGCTAGCTTTTCGGAGAAGGTCCGAAAGCTTTCTGTAAAACTCATCTTTTACATCATCTGAGCTGCAGTCAGTGGGAGAATAGGCAGAGACGACGAAGAGGCAACGACGAGTGTCCCTATCTTTCCGGATTCTTACTGTTCCGTTCAGTCGGACAGCGCACAAACGACTGTCTACTGGGATCCACTCTAAGAGAGCTAGTTCTGCCCTAGGACTCAATGCTATACCTACGCCGGCGAGGCCACGGGAAGCAGAATCAGGGCTTCCAGATACACGAAGCGTAAATCGAGTCGGTTCTTTATTTTGGCATGGTGAGGTCAAATGAATGACGCTACTTGGATCCTGTATGCGCGTTTCGGAGACGCAGCACACATCGATGGCGCGAGATTCTAAAGTTTTAGCTAAGGAAGCCTGCTGTCCTATTTGGCAAAGTGTTCGTACGTTAAAAGCTCCTACGTGTAGTTTAGAGCGTGGTTTCAGGAGACCAGGAATGGCGTTCCACGTACTCGAATCGTTTGCCCTAGCGGTGCGAGGTGATAAAGAGACGTGAGGAGGGTTAGTCATGGAGATAAGAGAGGTATTAGGAGGTGTAGGAAGGATTTGAATGTGACCACCTTGGTCTCTTGTGCTGTTACGGGTATGAGGGCTGATGTCACTTCCCGGCTGCCCACACCGTGGAAGGGTATTTCTTGAGGAACCTGAAAAGGAAATTGGATTAGTGTTGGTCTTGACGACCTGGGAGCGTGACCGCAGAGCCCAAGGGACAACTGCTTGAGGCCGGTCGCGCACGGCCTTTTTGTGGAAGGTTTTTGACGTGTTAGCTCCGTTCTTCAAAGGGCCTTACCGCCGGAGACGGAAATCCGTGAGGTAAGGTGAGGTGTGCATTTTTAGGGTCGACCTTTTCTAACCCCACCCCTCCTTGTGGGAAGGCAGCATCGCTGTCATGCTGGTTGTCCGAAGGAAACACCTTACTGCTGTCACACCTCTTACAGTCAGCAGTACGACTTCGCCTTCAGACCTTGAGTTGCTGCTTTTAGTCTTACCGCCTATCAACCGACCTGTCTGACATGGTAGACCTTGAGGAACGGTTGTTTCAGCCAATATAGCTCGGTTGGGTCATCACGATAGGCAAGCCCGACCACCACGTCAAGGTAGCAACAACGGTCGGGTTACAGTGTGTTAGCTCGGTACTTTAAAGGGTTTGGTATCGGTCAAGGGGAAACGTTGGGTAAGATAAAATGCT